CAAAAAAAAGGAAAGAAAAAATATACAAAGGGAAAAACCGCTCTTAATAACACAAACGGGATAAAAGAACGCTTAAAGAGACGATAATTTATAAACTGTCATGGTAATTTTTCAAAAATAATGTTACTTCAGCCTTTCTCAAAATGACACCAATTCCCGACAAGTTAAAACTAACGTCTGCAAGACTTCTTATTCAGCTATATAAAACTCGTTGACAACTTATTCTTCTGCACCTGAGTGGTTTTGTCAAAAAATTGAATATAGAAATTTTGAATTGGCATCGATCCAGTAAGATATTTTTAAATTTTGCAAAATAAACTATAACAGCCAAATATAACTGTTTTTGGCCAGAATCCCTAGCGGCCGTCAGCAACAGAGATCTGGAATTGTAGGTTACATATATATCGTACATCTTAAAATATCACTGACCATTTGACAAGCAGTGAATGCTCGAGTGTGGCATTTGTCGTCAGAGGTTACAATTTGTTTGCTTTTCTAGATGCTAGATTTTGTATGCGATTAGGGATACTGAGGACGAACGTTATTTAGGTATATTCGGTTATTTTGCGCGAGTATCCCCCTGTATACCTGATTCCTATCTTTGATGCTGTTTTGCAGTTATTGAAGTTAGCATTTTATCTGCATTATATCACTGAAATTATCTGAAAATTATTTGCTTAAGCTTTGATTATGTCTTTTTTTTTTTTTTTCTAATATATTTTATCTGTTATTGCATTTATTGCGAATCTTTTCAAATGAGTGGACCTTAGCTGCAAAAAAGCGCTTATTTTTTTCACTCTTGCTTTTTTTTTCTGACTATGCTAGCTTCACTATTTCATTTTATTTTCTGATATACAGTTCTCACGGTTTGAATGTTACTTTAAGAGTAGATACAGAAGTAAAATTTTGTTTTATTGTATGCTGATATCCTATCTTTTTAAAAAGGATGACACTGCTGCATTAATGGCAGAAGTTTAATATCAGTGTTACCCTAAATATTGCTAAATATTTCTTGTTAATAAGCAAAAATGATCCCATTCTTGAAAAATGTCAATTAGATAGCTTATAGAGGGTTTAGAGAATGGGAATTATGATTTCGAAAGAGAGGTTTTTGAGAAGAAAGAAAGTATAAAATATAATGAAGTTTCCTTTCCTTTTCTTCACTGAGAAGATGCTTCCAGTAAGGAGCCTTTTGCTGAAAAGTAATTAGAGGTCTTGGAAATGTTTTTTTTTGTTGTTAATTAATCTGTGTCGCATCATCATCTACACTGTAATGGGTTGCTTTTTGTTTTAGGTTTGTTGTTTCCCTTGTCCGGGTTTAAAGTTTGGTATTCTTATATATGGGTTGATGTCTCAACGGAGATTTTGTTATGGTGGGTTACCTGTCCTTTGTATGACATTTGGTTCTCATACAATTGGTTTTTGGATTTTTTGGCTGTTACCATATTTTTTTTACTGCTTTTTCTTTCTTTTTTCTTTTTTTAATGGTTGCTTACAAATTTGAAATGTGGTATTTCGAAACTGAGCCACTTTTTAAGGATCGCCAGTCTACGGCGTCGTCCAACACGCGAATTAAGGAATTTGGTCCTTGGTCGGAGCAGTACAGTTCATCTGGGAAAAGGTATTTTTATAACCGTGAAACTGAAGTTTCACAGTGGGAAAAACCTGCAGAATGGAGGGAGTATGAGAGGTCACTGAACGAAAGAGCCACAAGTCACAGTCCAAAATCCTCATCATGTAAGGTTTTGATACTGTCGGCTTTAGACTGAAAAGTTCCTAAAACTTAGAGGTTTATTTTTGCTTGACCGGTCTTCAAATTAATGTTGTCACGTTGCATATGATTATTACGATGGTGAAGATATGCAGTTTGGTTGAATCGAAAATTCGTTTCACATCGATAGCTTTGACTCACTTTTGTCATATTAGCCTTTTTAGCTGGCGTTCGAGCTAGTGCAGTGAGTGCTCCACGCGTGCAGCAGTTTCCGAGTGCTAGCGTCAAGAATGAAGAGAGTAAAATTACTAGGAAAATTAAAGAGGAGAAGTCTAACGGTGCACCAGCACAAAGTCCAGTTGTACAAGGTCCTGCAGCAAAACGCCCCAAAATAGAACCCAAGGAAGAAGAAGAAGAAGAAGATCCTATAGGTCCAATTGTTTTTAGCGAAGAAAAGTATCGTCCATTTTTAAAGTAACGTTTTACTTTTGATTATTGCTTTATTTTTTATACTTTAGTTAAAGTAAGCAAAAGAAGTTTTTTCCTCAACTTATAGTAACTTACTGTGTTGTATTTGGGACAGAAGAAACATTTTTAAAGTTTAAGTGTGAGCTTTTTCTCTCCACGTTTTTTTCTGGTAATGAAACAATGAATATATCCTTGACGGTTTGTTAAGTATTTATTTGGTATTTTTATTTCGTCTCTGGGAAATTTGCGGTTCACTTGACATTCTTAAATTTTTTAACGGATTGTATTATTTAAACTACTGATTCTTTTCAGCAAAGACATTGTAAATGCATCGACGAAATCACTAGCTGATGAGCTAATACAGTCTTCGTGGATGGCGCATAATTTAACCATGTTGATTGTGAATGTATCTTGCGATATTCGTTGCGCTCAATCTTTGGTAAGAACAGCGGAAATGAGGTCTAGTCTTCTGGCACAACAACTTTTGTCTATTTCTGATCATCTGCGACAACTTGAGTCAACTTTTAATCTTCCAAATCTTCCGCCTACATCTAGTTTTCCTTGATCTATAGGGCAGACTTTTGCATTATGTAAACAGTAAAATGATCAATTTTCTTAGCACCGAAACTTGAAGTCGAGTTTATTTGAAAACTGGTTTTGGTTCATACATATTCAACCTAGCTATTGATGATTCCTCGTTCCTTACATCTGATTTTTATAGTAAATAGTATGTAATGACAATGATAATTTATTCCATTTTAAAGAAGTTTGTTGGGAGAAGAGTGAGGGGCGACACTGTCGTTTCTTTTGCATGCTCGCTTTCTGATGCTTATTTGATCACAATTGATAATAACATCACTTTTTTGATAATCCTTGTGATATAATTATTTCTGCATCTCAGAAAAATGTCAGGTTAAGGATTTTGTGCTTTATTGTTGATTTTTATATGAATAGTGATTGCTTCTTTATGAAGTGTTGTTATAGCTTTTTGGTTCGTAGCGTGGAATGAGTGTGGTTGCGGAACTCGTTATTTGAGGAGTAACAGCATTTTTATAGAAGTATTTTCTGTACAACTTTTATTGTAAATATTTGCTGTGTTTCGGATGTTGAAAATATGCTTCTGTTTTTTATACTGCCGCTTTGTGGTCACCGTCTGTATTTGCGTATTGACATCAAAAGTTGCTTTACGTTGTTCTACATTGTTAATCTTTTGTTGTTGCATTGTTTAAATTATATCTGACTCTTACTTAGTTTTGCTGGCCTCTAGTTTCTGAGACTGAAAGGTTTTTAAGGCTAAGGGTGAAGTACAGTTTTGCGATTGCTCTGACATATAAGTATGGTTTATGAGATCTGCTCAGGAGGAACTGATAATGCGTTTGTTAACACCAAGTGAACGGTGAAACTTGACACGACACCACTTCTGTAGACAGTTTGTTTGAACATTTGGAGTGCGATTTAGGGACCAATGCATCACAAATGGTAGCCAGCGCGACAGTTGTGGAGCATTAGGGTATTCGAGATGTACGTAGTACTGATTAACTTCTTATCTGGGTCTTAAAATGTTCTTGCATGTTTAAAGAATATAACACTTTGGCGAGGTTGGGAGGTCCACTATAAGAATTATTGACATCGTTTAATTTGATTTCCAAAATTTATTAGAACTGGTAAAGTTGATCAATATGAGTTGGACAAGGGTCAGACAGCTTTTCAAGCCAAAGATGTTTGTTACTGTTGAATGGATCAGTTAATTTGGAAGCCAGTTTTCTTTGATTTTAAGGATATGAGAAGGATGGGTGGACTGGGACTCACACAGCTGCAATAAGTTGTTTGGGAAATTTTCTTGTGCGTACCGGCGGATGAAGGAAGTTTTCAGAGCAGTGAGGAGTCGTATTATCCTTACATTATCAGGTCACTTAATATTGGTCAAAGTAGTATTGGGTGAGGGACTTGGGTAGCGTGGAATTATTTTTTTTAATTTGGGAGTGCGTTACCAGTGATTTTTTGAGAAATGACTGTTTGAATATAGTGGACTGGAGCAATTTTTAGCTTTCTGCTTGTAGTACGTAGTTCCTAAGTTCTCTGGTGGGGAACTGAACTGACAAAACCTGTTGCATTTGTATTAAAATTTCTGAAGTAAAAAGATGGTACTTTAGCTGTTAAGCCACAGAATTTTTAGAGTTCTTGATCGTCTTGGTTTTCGCCATTTAGTCCGCTTCACAAATGATAAATATTGGTTGGAACGACTTTTTGAAGAATGAACAGTTGACGGAGTATGGATTTTTTTCAATCCCGTAATTGTTGCCACTGTTTGGAGAAGGAATTTTTTTTGGTTCGTGTTGGATAAGTGTCATATAATTTTTCATAGACATCAGACTTGAGCACTCGATAAGGAGGTTACAAAAGTTTCAATGTACCATATTCTTTGGTATTTTTCGTCTAGTTTTTCACTTTCTCACTGGAATCTTAAACGAGTGTTTAGAATAGACCTCATTCTGACAAACTGGTCTTGATCTGATGCTGAAATGAGCAACTGTTCATAGCTTTATTACTGCGTAAGGTAGTGTGGAGTAGGAAGCAAGGAGATAATGTCATGAAGAAATATTGAAGCAACGACGTTGAAAAATGGATTTATGATACACATTAATCTACCTGTATAACTAGACCGTTCTAATTTATAATTTGGTATATACAGCGAGAAAATTGGAGTTATATGGTTGTCAAATAATGTATTTATAGTTACACTAAGTAATTTCTACTAAAAATGTTCTTGTAGTAGTTTTCTTACATCTTCTGCCATACTTGAACTTTATGGATAGAGTAAATGCCACTGATAATAACTTTTAGAGGTGTAGAATAACAGTGTCAGCTGCAAAATTCAATTCGGTTTAGTTGTTAACGGTTTAACACTGGTCATCACAGATGACTGCTGATGACTTGAAACTCTATACTATTTGTTTATATGAATGTATATATGTATATACTTATTTATTTGTTTATTTTAATTTTTAGTTTCTGCAAGTGTATACGTATATACCCATTATTTTTCTTTTTCGAGTTTGATGTCATTTTTGTTTATTCGTAAGAAGTCCATTACTTGGAAATCTTTGAAAGTTTACAAGTTATATTACCCACAGAAAAAACCCTTACATTCATTAACGAAATTTAAGGCAACAACAACAAAAAAAA